TACAATTTAGCGTGTGTACATGTGTGTGTGTGCGAGGGTCATTTCAAACATTCTAGTATATCAAAATAGAAAGTAAGTCGAATTTGAGTTAATAAATCTTAATTAGACGAGCTTAATGCGAGATGGCCATGCTAGAATATACCCTGTGTTCACTTTCGCTATATTTAGATAGGAGATTATAAATTTAAAACTAACAACAATTTTTATTTAATAGCGATTTACTTAGGCTTAGCAAACTTTTTTTTCTAATTCTTAAAACTGTTTTCTTGATAACATATTCATGCTCGGATTTATTGGCGCTTAGCGATTGTGCCCAGGGCATAAGCTATAATATATATTAAATAAATTGGGCTTAAAAAATATTTAATATAATAGTTTTATTAAAGACTCGCGCTTGTTGTTTAGATTCGACTAAATATAATAAAAGCAAACAATCTAAACTAATTTATTCACTTATATTTTAGTTTTTCATTTTTGATCTTTTTTTCGCATGCTCTTCTCTTCTCTCTCTTCTCTTAACTAGTTTGGCTTCAAATTTGCATAATTTATGGAAATAATTTTTTTGTATTGATTTTATGCGACCAAAAAGCTTGCTTAAAAAGACCACACAGTTTCGTACTCTCTCTTAAAAACTCTTGCACTCCTCAGTTGATGGAACGAGTGTGTATATATATGTTTATATGAGGCTTCTTAGTGCGTCATTAGCTGACTAATCGGTTAAAGCTAAAACACAAGAAATTTGTATATTTCGATCAGGAGAAACCTAATCAAAATGCACTTGCAAATCGTTGAATGCCTTTCGAATATATACAAACAATTTGAAAAGATGTTTTGGCATCAACCCACGCTCTTAATTCTCAGCCGATGTTTGCTTTCAATTCTAAAAGCCATCCATTAATCTTATTTTTTCCGCTTTGGTTTTTTTGGTGTTACTTTTTAACAGTTAAAAGGGGTCTTCATCAACAAAAACTTAAAACTCAAATGATATATGATTGTTGTTGTTCTTGTTGTTGTTGACAGTGAAGTCGCGCATGTTGCCATAGTGTCTGGCACCGAGTGACAAAATATGCAAAAAAAAAAATTAAATAAAAAAAAGCATAAAAACAAAAACAAAGAATGAGCTAAGAGAACGACCTGGCAAAACAAAACATATGCTGAGTGACGATCTCTCTTGGCGGCATTTTAAAGTAAAAGGCATTATTATTATTCCAATTTTTTTTTTCGAAAGTCAACAAAAAAACGTAAGCGTCAGCTCGCTGGGGCAAAAAGAATGCAAATAATATCCGGGGAAAAATGATTTAAGTGAGTTCTAAGCGAACAAATCGTTGAATTTTAATCTAACTCTAAAAACAAAATCTATAAAATATATATATTATTTTTTAGTCGCACGAAAGCTTCACCATTTAATTTAAGTCATGGAAAATTTTCAAAAAGCCAGCCAAATATGAATATTGATTAACATATTTTTGTTAAGCGTGAATTGCTAAACAGCCGTTAATAAGTAGACGCGTTACTTTTATAAATAGTTTTCAACCTAAACAAATTAATTAAATGACAATACAAGTATTTAAGGCGCTGTAAAGGATTGAAAAGCGCGCTGTTAAAAGCATTATGTTAATCCATTTTAACATTTGTTCAGTAACAGGAGAAAGAAACTTACCAGCGCAATGTTAAAGAACGAGAAGGCTTAACAGCGTACTGTTAATAGCACGCTGTTAATCAGACTTAAATTTAAACCCAAAATAATGTTATTTTATGCTCTTTGCAGCCATTCCCATTGGCAACTGGACACCGCCGGATATTGATTACAACGAACGCTTCTCATGGGAAGGCGCCACCGATATGAGCGCCAACTATCGGCTGGCTCTGCAGCGTGGCCTGCCCTTTCCCATACTCACCGTAGCCGAATATTTTAGCTTGGGTCGCGAGGGTTTCTCCTGGGGTGGCCAGTATCGCGCCGCGGGCTACTTTGCCAGCATCATGCTGTGGGCCTCGCTTGCCTCGTGGCTGCTGATGAATCTGCTGCTGTTGGCGGTGCCGCGCTATGGCGCCTACCTCAAGGCGCTGACCGGCGCGCTGCTCGTCTGCACCGCTGTGGGCTATCATTGCCTGTTGCCGCAACGGCCTCTGTGCATATTTCTGGAGGGCGGCCGCCTGGAGTTTCACTTTGGCTGGTGCTACTGGCTGGTCCTGGTTGCGGGTAAGTTCACAGTTAGGCCTCTGGCATGCCTGTCGCTTATGTGTTTTGTATTTTTAGGCATACTCTGCTTCATTGCCGGCGTGCTGATCTCGATTATTGATCTGGTCTGGCCGCACACATTCTCCACGGTGCTGGAGGTGTACTATGGCACACCTTACGATCGCCATGTCATCTTGGAGGAGTCAAGCGATGTGCGCTATCGCAAGCCGCGCAATAGTCGCGGCCTCGAGGATCCGCCCGGACTCGGTTCGCGCATATTGCGTCGACTGAGCTCCAAGGCGCGCGATATGCAGCATGCCACAGCGCCGCGACGCAACAGTCCCGCCGGCGTCTCCAGCAGCGGCGTCGAGAATAAGGCATTTCAGGGCGATGCGCCCAAGAGTCCTTGGCGCCATCCCTTTCGACGCGCCCAGCAGCTGCCGCACAGCGCACAGCATCCGCACTCCTCGCACGCATCGCTGCATCATGGCCAGCAGCCGCATCAGCATCAGCATCATCATCAGCAGCAGCTGCAGTTCGTGGGCGGCGGTCCGATGGTGACACATCCCATGCACCATATGCAGCGCACCCTGTCGCAGGACTCGGGCTCCAGCATAGCCTCGGCTGCGGTGCAAATTTCGCCGCTGCATAAACATGCGATGGCGCGAATGTTGCCGTGAGTAGCATATGAATTGATCGTCCTATAGATACCCTAACAAAATCATCATCTCATATTTCCTTAGTAATCCGCCCGTGGAACGCGTCCGCGACATGGATCACTGGTGAAGTCCAGTGGGAGCTCCTTGTACGAGTTCTTGACAATTCAACCAACTTTTATTGACAAAAACAAAAAAACAGAAGAAAAAAAAAAATGCTACAAAACAATTTGTGATAATTTCTTAATTTAAAAGCAAAGAAAATGAAACTTAAAAATTGACAAGATCGCATAATTTACCTGACGTACTTATAAAAACAAATTAAATGCACTTAACTTTAATTAAATTATTTTAAATATATAAGTTAAACAAAATTTAATTTGTAAACCTATCGATACATTCATCTGAGACGTGATGTTCACTTGTGATAAGATAAGATAAATCTGCCACACGACGGACACAGAATGCGTGCAATTTATTTCTATTATTGTAAATCAATACGATTCGGATAAATTCAATTATGTCTTAAATGAATTCCATGCCAGTCTATGTAACGATTAGCTTAAAAACAAAAGCAAAAAAAAAAAACTATTATAAAATGCGTGTAAGCTAAGTTTTTTTAAGTTATGACAATGTTTTAAAAAATATATATATGTATGGCAGCAAATGCAACGAACTAAACTCAAGCTATTATATAAAAACCTAGCCTTTTAAGCAGAGTCTATGTATATACGCAGTCAACAAATCTAGTCCGTGTGCAAAGATTTATATATATACCGTTTATATATATATCTAAATTCTCAACCATCTCCGAACCCGCCGTCAAGCTGTTCTCTTAATCCATGTTTAAACTTCGTATTTGTGCAGGTAAGCATCTTACTTTGAACCACGTTAAGCCGTACGTATGCCTAATACACTAACAAAAAAAGAAAACGAAGGAATAAAAATGAATTAATTTTATAACTTTAAAAAAAAAAACTCACTTCAAACACAATTTTAACAATAATTATATTTTACATCACACATCTAAAAGTCATTTCAAAATTTCAGCATGTAAAACTAAAAGCATTTGGAAAAAAACATGAACATCAAAGTAATTGGAAACATTTTCATCAAAACTAATTAAACAATATACAAATCATTATTATCATAAATCAACATTATATGGGGTGAGTCATATCTTATATTTATTCTTTTAATATAAAAAAGAAGATCGGTGTTCACCCAGCGCTTGCTGGAATATTAATTGCAGACTGAAATTCTTATGCTCTTGTTGAGGGCATTTATTAGTCTTACTATACGTTTGATATACAAACCAAATCTTCTTAATATCGGACTACCATAACATAAAACTACCATAGGAACAATCTAATGAAAATGTAGGTCTGTTATGAAAGACTTGTGCTTTTAAAGATATCTTAATCAAACTAGACCTTTAAAAAGTTTCACTCTGCTTCTTTCATATATGCAAAATTTGATCAATATCGGACAACTGTGTATAATAGATGCCATAGGAACTATCAGCAGAAAATGGGGAAACATTTTTATACACTTGCAGAGGGTATTAAATATTTTTTCTTTTATATTAAGATACTCAACCAAACTCAGGATTTATTTTCATATTATGCAATTTCCATAAATATGCAAAATATTTAATAATAGGAAATGTCACAGGAGAAATCGTTCGAAAAGTAGGCAAAATAGATACTCTGTTTTCCAAGACTCCTCATTCACGATGTTCACAATTCTCACATGTCTGCAAAATCGTAAGACAAATTCCTACAAGCGTATTATATGTTCGGTGTTCCGCATTTATTTTTACTCTCTTGTTTATTATATGCACCGAAAACCTCTTTTTTATTTCTTGCTGCTTTTTAATTGCGCTTAGAATTGATATTCATTGGTTTTTTTATAAAAAACAATTAGCTTGTTATCGACTCATCAAGTGATATGCCAAATAGTCGAAGCGAAGTCAAAAAAACCCACACCTAAATTAGTCTAAAATATAAGAAAAAACAGATATATAATTTCTTTGGCTACATTTGACAACATATTTTTATTGTCTACAAAATAATGCTCGATTAACAAAGCAAAGATATTGTAAAGTAACTGTCTTTTATTCACAATTTTAGAGTCCCTTAGAATTAAGTATTTTTTTCTTGATATTTCGATTGTAGAATTATTATTCATATTCTTTTATTTACTTTTTCATGCTCTTTATAATTGCGCACATTAATTACATTTGCTCGATACACTTATCGATGTTTGGCAAAAAGTCATTATAGCTCTGCTCCACCTCTTTGGTGGCATCGAGGAAACAGCTTTCCGTATCGGCTGGCAGCTTGGCGATCAGCTTCAGGGTGGTGTTTATCTTATAGGTCAGTTTCATGATGGCCTCAAACAGGCCCAAGAAGCATTTGGAGGTGGTCATTTTGCCATCCTCCTCATCGGCGCAAATTGTGCTATTCAGATGTATGATATCCTCGCACAGGGCTATAATGCTCTTGCAGTTCTTGACAATTTTGGCAATATCCTTGGGTATGGCCGTGCCACAGGCATCGATGGCATCCACATAGTTGGTCGTCGCAAGCATCACCTCAATCACCTCTTTGATGGTGCAATTAACGCCACGCACCGTGGTCAGCGCCTTCTTGAGGGCCTTCTCCATCGACTTGATGAAGCCATAGGCTTCCACCTCCTCAAAGTCAAACGAATCGGCATCGCTGGCCTGAAATAAACCAGAGAGTTTTTCATCCGGCGGCCCCAGTATTAAGTGCTAGATTCCACTGACCGATGAGCCCAGCAGACAGCTGCCGGAGACGAGCAGCAACAGGCAAAGAGTTATAGTTCTCATATTGGGTATATCACGTTGAATGTCTGTTGGGCAACGACGTTTTTCCGCTTTTAAAGAAGTCGTATATCTCTCTGCGGACTCTATCAGTCGAGTGGTTTCATTGTTCACTCTGATTTGTTATATTTTTGTTCTATTAAAATTTAATTTCTTTGATTAGATTTCTAAAATAATCAGCCAAGTTTATTAGCAGCCGCAGCAAGACATACAAGTGTCTGAATTTCCTTTGATAGTTATTTGCTTATCAAGAAAAAAGCTCAATATTAACTCAATTGTCGCTTGTTTGATTTTTAATTAGGGAATACCTTAAAGCCTCTTCTACCAACACCAAACTTTAGCAGTATTAAAAATAAATTATATAAAAAAGTTCCCACGATACGACTCGATCTTGTAACAGACCACAGTGCCTGCAACCGCCACTACTCAACAGGTACATCAACAACTCCGCCTTGATGAGAAAAAAACGAATTAAAATAGCAGCACAGAAGACAATACAACCGTAGTTGCGCGTGAATGTGTGTATATATTTAAAGGATCAATTGCATTAATGCAGCGAAAGCTCTTCGGGTGCGAGCTTTCATCTACACGCAATAAAAGCTTTGCTCTTGAAGATATTTTTCTGCGTAAACTTTGAGTTTAACAAAAAAAAAAAAAAACAAAACAAAACATGAATATAAATCAATTATGTTTTAGCGTGTGCAAATAAATAAAAGCAAATAAAATGTACTTCATATGCACAACTGTAAATAGACAGTTATATTGCCAGACGTAAGCACACGCACACACACACACACACACACTCCAGCACACACACACACACTGCAACACACACGGGCATACACTTCTGTTTTTATCGCACGCTTTTTGGTTTAGTTCCAGAAATCAGGATTTATGACATTTTTATTACAAAAACGAGCGTCGTTTGTTGTGGGCGACTGTAAAAATAATACACAGGACAATGCTGCTGCGGGGGTGTGGCAGGGTTGGCAGTCAGCCCCGCCCGTTGACTTTAAAAATATGCAGCCAGGCGCATCAGAGCCTTAGTTAGACTCTCCCACTCTCTCTCCCACTCTCTCTCACTCTCTCGCTGGCTGAGGCTGAGCCAGCCTTGGCGCCGGTTTCTGATGCCGCCGCATGCAACGGAAGGCGCATAATTCACAAAACAGCAGGCCTGGCCAGGATGGGGCAGGGTATAAGGGTGCTGCTATAAGGACAGCGGGGGAGGAGCGGCTAGCATTTGGCAAATGCAATGCAGAAATCTGTGTACAGGACCTTAGGACGCGTTTTTGACTCTCCATTTTAATATAAACAAATTGCAGCGCCTCTTATTTATGATATTTTTTGCCAAGCTGTTTCTGCTTCTTCCTCCCGTCTGCTGCTACTCCTTCTTCTTCTTCTTCATGTTATGGACAACTGTCGCCAGTTGTTGTTGTTGTTGTTGTTGTTGTTGCAGCTGCAACTGCTGCACTTTTTGGCCCGCTTTGATGTTTTTGCTGCTCCAATAAATATGCTAAAAATATGTTGAAAAAAAAAAACGAACATAAAAATCAACTGTTTTCAATTGAAATTGGAAGAAGTTTTGGTCTTAATTCAAAAGCTTCACATTTTCTTGACAACTCTTAAGTTAGCTTTAAGCTTTTTTTTAGTAAGCCTGAGTTGTTATTGAAAAGTGCTTTTCCATTTAATGAAAATATCTGCAAATAAACTCAGTTATTGAGAAAGTAAATATTTAGTTAGTTGTAAAATGAAAAGATTGGTTCGAGCGACAACCCTTTTCCCTAAGAAAGAAGTAAAAAATAAGAATCCATTCTTTGAACCCCTTTAATGTGTGATGATTGAAACAAATATATTTAAGTAAATGTTATATTCATATTATATTTGCTTGATTGAAACATTTCTAATTATTATTGTCTTTGTTAGACCTTGATTTACCCTTTGAAGCGCATCCACTCTTTTCGGTGGAAAATGGGGGTTTTCAAAAGATGTATATGTATATGTATTATATGTATTATATTCATAGTACATTCAGAAATAAAACATTCCTACTTTTTCATCAGATCTGCCTCAAATTCAAAGAAAGAAATTAAGATTAAGCCACGTTTCACTGTTTCAGGCGAATCCACTTATCTGGGTGGAAATGTAGGTTTTAGTTAATGGGGCTGAGCAAATAAACATGCCATATTATTATATACTGTATTCAGCATTTGGCTTTTCAGCATTAAACTTATTTTTAAAGAAGTTTCTGCAATGGAATTGAGACATGTTTTTACCGTTTGAGGCGAATTCACTGCTCCTTGTGGAAATGGGGATTTAAGATGGCAGGGATAAAAAATGAAACCTATTTAATATGTTATTGGAACACTTTATTTTCCATTCGATAGCTTAAGCTTAAATTCAAAGATCTTTGTAAAATGATCTTTCGCATTTTAAGGCGAATTCACTTCTCTGCGTGAAAATGAAAGTTTTGTCAATTTCAATTGTCATCTGACTTGCGAATGGACTAGAAAATTCTTGAATCAAGTGTATTGATTTCTTTTATTGCTACTATTATTATTTTTGCAATATATATATAATTATTTGCGTTCGACTTAAGTTGTAAATCAACTAATACATTCCAATTGGACTTGGCCGTATAGTTTTACAGTTTTTTTCCAGCCAGTTGCCAATTGGAATTTCTGTCCACTTTTTGGCTTGTTTCGCGGCAGCTCTTTGGATGGCATTAACAATACGCATCAATTTGCATCGATCACTGGGCTAACAATATGTCCAAAAGCGAAACAGAAAGGGCGGAGGGGGGAATAGAGGAAAAAAAAAACGTATAAAATGGCGAGTGGCATGAAAAATAAGATAAATTCCAATGGCAGCTGCGCTAACGAGCGTCTCAGCAAAGGTGGTGACTCCTGGGGAGGGGGTGGGGGTTGGGTTTGATGGCTTAGCTGGGTAGTAGTGGGTGAAGGGTAGGGGGTGTGGCTGGCTGTGTGGGCGAGTGCAATTTTTAGTTTTCTTGTCAAGCGTGGAGCGAACTGTGCGCTGAATAATGCGGCCCGCATTGCATTGTCTGAGCGAGACACAGTGCCTGCGAAAAGTTGACGCCACTTTTGGCTTTTCGCTTAATACAAATGAAAATGGATAAGCTACTAAATGTTGTCATTGTTGTTCTTGTTCCAGTTGTTGTTGTTGTTGTTGCAGCACTCTGCGCATTGACTGCATCAAATGAAATGCGAATGCTGCAAAGAAGCCAGCTGCAAATACTCTGCCCGAAACCCTTCCTTCCCCCGAACCCCTCTTGCTATACTCTAAGCCCGCCTCTGGCCATTTCTTGGCCGTAAATTCTCTTTTGCATTGCTGCCTGGCACATGTATGTGTGTGTGTGTGTGTGTGTGTGTGTGTTTCTCTTCCCCCTTCCCTTCGATGTCAGCTCGAAGTGCATGTGTTTGTCTTTGTTTTTATGTCATTTATTTATTTAAGTCAATTTCGTTGAGTGTGTTTGAGCATTTTGTTGCAATTCGTTTTTTGGGTTTTGCTGCTGCTGCTATCGTTTTGAATACCCTGTAATTAGAATGCTGGCCACGGTGTTGTCTAACTCCTTGCCTGTGCTGAGAAAAGATATTATTCATAAATAGTTAATTAACAATAATAATACATTTAAATATATTCTTTGCTGGGTTTTCTTTTTTCGATGGATTTTTTTTTAATTATTAAACTCAATATTAATTCATTTAAAAATGGTTAATAAATATAATAATTAATTTAATTAATAAGCCAAGCCTTAGTGTAAGCCATCTAAAGAAAGTACAGGGTATCTGAGAGAAACTGCGCTCTTAGTCTACACATGCGAGCACTTCCCTCTATATACAGGGTATTTAGCAGTCGCGCACGCGCCGCAAGTCGTATTTATAGTCATTTTTTGTGACATTTTTTTGTAGCATCTTCTGTGAGAAACTTGATGACAATTTGTACTTTGAGTGATTGCAGCCGCATCGACTGCAGCTGGAACCAAGCGTGAGAGAGACAGGGACAGCAATTTTGGGTGGCAAGCGGTGGGTCGCCGAGGGGGGAAGTGGGTGTGTGTAAGTTCGCTAAGGCAATAAACAAGTGCACTTGTGAGACACGCATACACATGTGCCACACACATGTACATGTGTAAGCATGTGTTATTTAAGTGTGTGTGTTCAGTGTTGAGAAACATTCAAGTTAATTGGCTAACAGTAAAGTGCATTGATTTTAAGTGTGCGAAAACTGATTGTGAGCAGTGTTCTACTACTACTGCTAACAAGCGTATCAATTGTTCCCTTAGATTATTGATAGGATTTGCAGTTTCTGATCTGGCAAAAATTGAATATCTTGTCAATTTTATTTATGGTTAGAGAAAATATGGTTTTGCTTAATTTCGCAACTTACAAAGATCTTGAATCCATTTATGATGCATTAAAAAGGTTGTTTCCATTAAACAGTTTGTCACTATTTTATTTTTATTTTCTTATTTATTCATTTATTATATTCTTTTCTTATTTATTTTATTTCTTAACGCACAGCAGACTTAAAAATGTAAGAGCTTGTTTTAACAGAATCACTTAACATAGCTTTATCTAAGACCACAACCATTTATGCCTATTACCTTCTCTCTCTTATACACGCAAACACTAAGTATTTCACACAGAGGGCGCTTTTGTGTGCTGTTAGTTGCGAGTCTCACAGAGCCAAATGTGACACAATACAACGACGTCGTATGCGGAGCGCAACAAGCATTATGTTAATCAACAGTCCGATGTTAAAATGTGCATAGTAAAAGATCTGCACAACAATTAGATAAACAAACTAATATATATGCATGCATATGTATATACATATATGCGTACCTCGAACTAAATATGTTTGTCTCTTTGGTTTTTAAATCAATTAATTTACAATACAATATATTGTGTTAATTATAAATAAGCTTAATACTATATCCGATCGCATCCTGTTGCTTCTACTCTGTGTTCGTGGCTCAAGCGCTGCTAATAGCCGAGAGCTTTTGCAGTGTCCAATTGCCACTGGCTGTGCGCTGTATTTGGCTTGCTCTCGCTCTCCTTCGTTCGTTTTCCTGCTTCACTCGTATTCAGCATCACGAATGTTCGTCGTATTGTTGTGCCCGTTTACGCTTCGTGCGCCGTCGTCCTCTCGCACGGTCGTTAACAGCGTCGCTTCGCACGCTTCGTGCCTGGCCTGACGATGCTTAACGAAGCGGCTGTTGTCCGTTGTAGCTTTAGTTGAAGCTCAGCCGTCGGAGTGTTTTGAACGTATGCAAAAATGCTGACGCTTGTCTCGCGCATATAAATCGCGTTCACTCGTAAACGGGAATTCGGTAAAACGACGATAAACGCAGCGTAAATCGAAGACAAAAAGAAAAAAAAATAGTAGAAAAAAATAAATACATAGAATAAAACTAAAGGCAGGCAAAATAAAATATATAATAAAAATGCAAATGATGCATATCGTGTACGCGCAAGAAACGGTAAATGTCGCGTGTGTCTAAAGCGCCTAATCAAATGTTGAGAATTTCGAAAGCGCCACATTAACTGTTTTAGTTAAGAAACGCACAGCCCTCCCCCTCCCAGCCCATCCCCCAACCGCAACACTTGTCAAATGCTTTAATTGCTGCGCTCTGCTTTTTGGGCATACATTAAAACGTGTAAACTACAACAACAACAACAACAAAAACAGTGTCTTGTGAGTGTGTCTGTGCGTGTGCGTGTGTTTGTATCGTGGCATTGTAGTTGTAGTGCCGGTTTAACTCCTCGGTCACGTGGCCAAAAGTTTGGGCCATGTTTTGTGCACGCCCAAGCCACTGTTGCCATTGTGCGTGACACAGTCCAGCGGCAATAACAGCAACAACAAAAAAAAACAGCCACAACTAAAGGATTAACACTTTGGAAGGCCAAAACTCAATTTGTTGGCCAGGTGAGTTTTCGCCTAGATCGCATCTAATTCCAGCAGCTGCTTTAAAGCATCAGAGAAAAGCTCAATATTTGTTTGCGACTGTATTTGTTTCGTCCAGTTTCAGTAGCTGTGAAATTGCGGTACTTTAAGCTCTTGTCTCGCTGCGCCAGTTTTTCACTTTCGCACTGTCGACCCCGCCTCTTTGGCTCGTTTCCTTTATGCCCAAGTGGCACTCCGCCACCGTCACCGCCGGCGCCCCCGCTCTCGCTTCCTCCCTCTGGCCGTCGTGTCGATTGCCGTAACTTAAAATGCGCCAACTGACTGCCAAAAAGTTGGCAAAACTTTTGCCTAAAGTTTATTTACTTGTTTTATTATTTTATTCTTTTTTTTTTTAATATATATGTGTCTATTTTTTTTTTGTCTAGCAAGAGGAAGCATGCAAGTTGCCGTTAGATAACCGGCCGTAAGCCCGTTTACAAATGCTCTTCCTCTTTCTGCCTCTCGCTTGTGTTGTGAAATTTTTACATTAGAACAGAAAAAAAAAAAAACATCTTAAGTTTGTCTGAAATACTTGGGCGCATAATATTTAATGTTTTCTCAATTAAATATTATTTTCTCCCTAAGAAAATATTATGAAATGTATACAAACAAGGAAATTGTAGGAAGATAAAAAAAATAATATTTAATATAATTGCACTTAACATTGGGTGTAAAAAGATTTTTTGTATTGCTCAACACTATAAAAAATAGAATAGACGTTGGTTCGATAAATCTAAAATTGTTTGTTGTTTTTTCGAAATACGATTAGAGTGTTAAAATATGTGAGGTGATTATTACAGAAAGTATTTCAAATAGGATGAAAATGTTGATCGAAATAATAAAAAACAATTTGGTTAAGAAAAAAACACTTTATATTGTTTTTAAACATCGAAATATATATTTATTTTCTCGACAAGTAAATTAACTATAAATTTCGTTGCAAGTTCGACTCTTCAAATATTCTCTAGTTAAAAACGGATTTGCTTAGTGTAATCAGGCCTCTGCCCAGTGTTGGTTAATTTTTGGGCCAAATTTTGTTGCCAACTGTTTTGTTAAAGCAAGCGAGTTGGCAACACTCTTAAAACTGCGACGAGCAGCACTCGACACTCCCAGGACGTTGTTTATTAAATTTGTATGTAGCTTTTCATTAGATAAACGAAGGGCAGCTGCTGCTTCTTACTTTCGGGTGTCTTCTGCAGCTGCCTGTCTGACAGCGCCTTTTGCTCGAGTTAGTTAAAGTTTTATATAAATAAATTAGTTAAATAAATAAAAGGCTGCTTCTGTTGTGCTCTTGGTGCACAATTGAAATATGCAAATGAGGCTGGAACAGGGCCAACTTGAAAGCCAGTTGCGACAAATGATCTGGCCAAAACAGGCACAAGGTGCGGGGGCGGTGTGTGTGTGTGTGTGTGTGTTAGCCGATACAGTTAAAAACTTTGTATGCTGCATATTTTGATAAGCTGCTCGTGTCGCACAAATGTCCACAAAATTTTGACAATTTACTCACACAAATACACGCACACACACTCGCACCCTTAGTTAACCCCTGCACACCCACACGCACGCAGAATTTAAGCCCAATGTCCCTGCGGGGGCTTGCATGCGTGTTGTGTGCCAAACAATTGTTGAAATTTATAGCGAAAAGCCAATTACGTCTGCCAGTTGATGGAACAGACAGACAGTCGAGGGTTTTAAGTGGCGCCCACACAAAGGCAGCAAACTGCGGGTGTTTAGTTGACATATATATCTGCATATACATATATATATATACATATATATTACATACTATATATGCGTATAGTCTTTGCAAAGCGAAAAACCAATTTGCGTGTGCTTCGTGTACTTCGGCAGGGCATTAAGCAAAACGCATAAACAAAAGTTACGTATACGCAGAGTTAACCGTTGACGGGTTAATGTGATTTTAATGTACTTTTTAGGCAGCTCCCAACTGAGTACGTGTTTGTGAGTGGAAGGGGAATGGTGAGGGGGAGGTGTGTGTATTGTTTGTAGGTGTAACTGCCAAAGTTTTATGAAATTTCCCATTTAATATACAGACATTAATGTTGGATTTCATTTTAATTTAACCTTTTCAATTTATTAAGCATATTATTTTAGTAGAAGAATTTGCTGTAGTTACATTTAGTGTCTGTTTGTTTGCATGTGATAAACTGTTTTTTGGCGTTTTACCAAAGTTTTGAACTTTCGTTTTAGAATGAAAACTAAAAGCTGGAAAATAAAATTTGTCATGCAAGAATTTGGCAGTAAAATTTTCCTTTATTAATTGTTTTTTAGTTGTCTTTGAATATAAATAAAATATGAAAAAAATTGTAAGTAAATTATGTTGTTTATTAAATGCTTTTAGAGAATATTGCAAATGAAAAGTTTTTATAGACCTTCACATTTTGTGGCTTCATAAAAATAATATATACTTTATCGGAACACCAGAAAATCATAAAAAATATTATATGTGCCTTATATGAAATGAAAAGTATTAAACTTGTATTTACCTGGCAATAACAAACAATAACAAAAGAATGCACAGCAAATATAATCAAAAATGATCTCCGCTCGACAGAACAAAATCAAATCAAATTTTGAGGTTGAGCGGAATAGGGGTGCTGTCTGGTTGAGTAGGGGGGCAGGGTGGTGGAGGGGTAGACAGTATTCAGTATTTGTAGTATTTCATTTTGTTTTCGGCTTTGCGTGCTGCGCGGTTGCCACAACAATGGTGGAAAAATGCGGCACGCTTTGAAATCAATCTTCCTAATGACAGACGGGCAACAATGACAGGAGGGGGGAGGGGGGAGGGTCGAGGGGCACCTGTAGACACGTGCGCTTGCGTTTTCATGCTCAAGTATCTGGCACTTGTAACGGTAATCGATCTGAGCAACAGCCACGCCCACAACAACAGCGGTTAGCATGAATTGGCGGAAAAAAACAAAAAAAAAAAAATGAAATGAGAAAAAAAAACAAATAAAAGCAACAGTCCGTGTGCACCCTTTTTTTAGGTGATGGATGGAGAGGGGGGAGGGGTAAAAAGTAGCCCCAACCCGAGAAAAACGCGAGGCTTTCACTTGAAATTGTGATAATGTGTGAGACTGTGCGCGTTTACGGATTGTACAAAAATTGCTCAAAATATGTTAAGCCCAAGTTTATAAATATATTATTTTGTTTATTTCTCATATATATCTCTGTATAAGACAAAGTTTGCCTTAAAATGAATTGAGCTTTTTTCTGCTGCAAAAAATTTAAGTTTTATGTTTTTTGTTTAAAATTGCCTGAAAATGAAGATACCATTTTTTGCATAAGTTCAAATTTCTTGAAAACTAAGTTGGCTTCCTTTTGCTTAAAAAACTTAAAATTCATAAATTATAATATTCCTTGGTTTATTTTATGAATTTTTTAATATTTTTATGATCACATTCGTATTTGTATGTTTTGCAAGATTAGAATATTTATTTCCTCTTCTTCTTTCTTTTATTAAAACACAAAACGTTGCGCACGAGTTTTCAATGCAATTTATTTAGGCATAATCCGAAGTAATAATACTTAAAATTAATAACTTTATTGATGTAATTTCTCAAGTATTTTACATTTTAATATATTTGAGCCTTAGCTCATATCAATTTGTATCTGAGCCTCTAAAACGGAGGACATTGGCTTGTTTTTCTGCTTCTTGCTATTGATTGCATTTCAAGCTGTTTTTATTTTATTTTTAATATTTTTATTTATATTGTTGGTAAAAGCAAAGTCAAACGTGACATAACAAAATGTTAAGAAGAGTTTTTTGTGTTTTTGTCAAAACCAAAAACTTGGCGAATTTTTTAATGCAATATTTTTGCTTGTAATATCTGCACGGTTTTATTTTTAAAATAATAATTGTTAATTAGGGAATTTTTGTGAGAAATAAATAAGGAAAAGTAATTCCTTTCTGTCTGATATTCACATTAAGTTTGCCTGTGAACACATTTTCACTCGAATTTATTTTCTTAAATGTAAGGAAATACATGAAATTTCTTAGATTTTGTATTTGGTAAGAAAAGTACTTAATAATCCATGCATAATATTCAATTTGAAATACTTTTGACGACAAATTGTAAAGCGCGAAAAAAAACGAGCTCGTAAATGATATTTTTTCATTAATTTATTTTGCCTGGCCAAGAAATCGAAACAGCCAAAGGAATCAATCAGGCGAAAACCTTTAGTATCAAATACACCAAATCAAACAGATGCCGCACACAAAGAAGGCGCAAATATATACCTGTGCACACCTTCGCCTACACACACAGAGTGAGGATTTAATGTGAAGTTCGCCTGTTTCAATAAACTTATGCAAATATTCAATTTGAAGAATTCGTTTTTTCTTGCCTTTTCTTGACAAATGATAAGGCCAAACAAAAGGCAGCCAGGCAAACAAACTTTTCACGCCCAGGACATGCGGCCAGAAGGACGAAGAAGCAGCAGCAGCAGCAGCAGACAGAGACAGAAGCTGGGAAAAAAGGATGTGCCGCATTTGCTTATCAAAATTAAAATGAAACCACAAAAAATCGAGATCCCAACTGAATGGGGGGAAGTCATAAAGGCGGAAATGCAGAGGTCTAAAAGTTTTCAGCAGGTTTCCATCATGCAGCACACACAGAGACATACATACATATATATATATATATATATAAATATATATATGTTTATTTATATGTATAAATTGCGAAAGGACTGCGTGTCCTGGCTTGGGTGCTTTCTTTAAAAAGGAACCCATCGCTGTGCACAAAGTAAATTTCAATTTAACCTTCATCGAGCAAAACTCATTTATATTTATAAATGCGCCGACAACGCAGCGGCGAAAACACAGGAAACGAATATAAATAAATGCCAAACTGAAGAAAACGAAACCAACGAGCAGACAGAGGCAGCGAGAAAGAGAGAGAAAGGGAGAGAGAGAGAGAGAGAGGCTGAGACAGAGAACTCAAAATGGCCATAAGAAA